CACACACACACACACACACACACACACACACACACACACACACACACACACACAGGCTCTAGTTTTCCATCAAAACATCCATCATTTCCATTCGCAAAATTTGTCATTATGGACGCCTGTCATTCATTGATCTCTATATTTGGGATCATCAGCAGCAGCAGCAGCTGGGCGGATGCTGCTGATGTGTCCTTGAGCAATACACACCGGCTCCAGGGATGCTGGTGACCATGCGCTCTGCCCTTCCTGATGAGGAGCATCGTCTTTTAGATCTTAATAGCAAATCAGATCATGTTTATATTTCATTTTGCCAACAGGATGATGACATATGGATAAAACACGCTGCATGTTAACCACATCTGTGAATGTTAAATAAACTGATTTGTGTGTCTCAAACTCTCCAACAACAAACATTTTCTGGTACCTGTTTGCCTCAGTGTGGATGTAATTTCGCGCTACGTCCTGAAGAGGGCAGCACATTAGTTTTGACCAGTGTGCGCGCTGTAGCAAAGCTCCGCACTATTTGTCCCTTCTGCTCGCCGTAGCTCATACGGCGGGACTGGCTTGAAGTAGGAAAGTAAATGTGTCACAACAGCTTAGCGTCTGCTTTTATTTTGTTGTTTGGTCACACAGCGAACGGCATTTCATCACAATATACAGGAAACACTACCAGGTAACGTCCACGACATGAAGTTGCGACAATAAAGTAGTTAACTAAGCTAGCAAGAGCCGGCAGCCTGGGTAGCTAACTTTAACCGTTAGTGCTAGCTAGCTAAGTACCCAGCTTTACAGTACGAGCACTGTCTGCCGAGTTCAAAACATGACATTCACCGCTTTGTTTTTTGTAACGTTACCTGACGGACCCATGTTGTGTCTCCAGGGGTTAGTGGCGGTGTTTCAGCAAGCTGAAGATGTGCTCTCTGGCTCTGTTCCCTCCTCCGCTGCCCTCCGGACAGACCACACTGTGTGAGTCCAACAACGAGCTGCTGTTCGGGGCCAGCACCGAAGACCGACTGAAGCAGGTCTGATCCAGATCTGCTGTGTTTGTCGTGAAGTATAAGTAACATTCTGACAGAAAACACGGGTGATCATGTTTGCAGTCGTTGATTGAGTGCTTAAACGTACCCCTATATTTAACTCAGAAGATAATATTCACTAAATGAGTCTGCACGAAGCCTAGTAAAGTTCTAATACGTTGTGTTTTCTGCAGGACTCCAGTCCTCTGAGTCTACATTTCCCCCGAGAGTCTCTGAAGCTCCACAGCCGCACAGAGAGCAGCAGCAAGGCAGCCTTCCTGGACCACTCTGAAACACTATGGATGAGGAGTGCAGCAGCATGGTGGGTAACATACACACAGATATATGAGGTGTGGTAGTTAAAGCATGCAGTGACATGCTATTAGTGTTGTCATGATACCACAATTGTACTACTCGATACCGGCCTGAATTTTTCATTACTGATACCAATACAATACCATAGCTACGATCTTACACATGTGACAGAACATGGAAGTTAATTTGAGCTTGGGAAAATTGCTTTTAGTTTTCGTGCTGCACACACATCATACAGCAAACATCAAAACAAAACTGCACCTGTAGGTCAATTTAAAACCATGATTGCACTATGCTGCTTCTGAATGTAAAGGTTTTTAGCTGTGTTCTGTTGTTTGTGTTCTTATTAATTACTACCCTATTTATTCCATCTAATTGTACTCTTGACATCTTTGAAAAGGAGGGAATGCATGCAAATGTATATAAAAGGGGAATTAAGTTTTAAAGTAATTCTAAAAAAAGTTTGACCATGGCAGTGCAAGACAGTGGAGGATGTGTGAGGAAGCCACAAAACAATGGACTAAATTACTGTACCTGGATCTCCTCCTTAAGGTCAGCTCTTAACACGTTGATGTGTCTGCACTTTCACAAGTCCCTCTACTAAGGATTTCAAATAATAAATCCTTGCAGAAATAAGTGGGAGCAGTGCTGTAGTGCAGCTTAATCACACTTTTATACAGGAGTTCTATTGATCATTTATAACTAGGGGTATTGATAAGCACACTTCAAAGTGCCTTATTTTAGCAGTTTGCAGTAGCGTGAGTTGAGATTACCAGTATAAATCCCTCTTTTATATGAATGTATTGGACAAAGTGCAGAAGACATCAGTCAGTATTGTGCAGTGTAGTTCTACAATACCACAAACTGCAGCCTCCAAAATGAGCGTTTAGTAAAGTCCTCACCTCTCTGAGACAAAACTGGAAACATTACTACAGGCTTTATTTCAGTACTGTTGAACTGGAGTGATTCAATTGAACTGGAATAAATTCATTTCCACTAGTATAATAATAAATAAATAAAATTATTACTATTATGATAAAAAATAATTCCATTCCACAGGGATTTGTAAGCTTCAATAAATAAGTAAACTTACTTTTGGAGGAACAGTGAACAAGAAATCTACAGAGTTGGGCAGCTTGGTAACTCAGTGCTCTCTGATGAATGGACAATGTTATGCAACTAACTCAATCATATCTTTGGCATTTCTAAATTCAATTTGTAACTAATAAGTCAACATATACAGAAAACTAATATGTCTGCAATAAGCTCATATCAGCAGATTTACAGCTGTAAATAGAGATGTTATCACAACATTATTTTTCAGTACAAACATGTGAGACAGTCGTCTTGTGAAATCTTATGACGTTTGATACAACTTTTAAGGGTTTGTGATTTGATTCCTGATCTCATGTTGCATGTGCTGTTTAGCAAGACACTGAAGTTCAAATTGTTTCTAAAATATCTAAGTTCAAAAATGCGTGTTGCTTTGGATAAAAGTGTTGTTGTAGTAACGTTTACTCGCTGTCATTAACTGAGATGATGTAATGAATAACCAATGACTTTCTAAGCTGTAGCAAAGACCGAAATGTGTCTATGTGCGGTCAGTCAGTTGCAAAACAGCCATGAATTGGCAAAAGACTTAAATGAACCCCAAACCAAACAGCTCTACCGCTGAAATAGAAGGATACAGCTGCACCTCACAGTCATGCAAATCAGTGCAATCTGGCACACAAGTTGGACCATGTTTTTATTTTATACTTAGTCAGCACTCAGCTTCTGGCATCAGTATTTCAGTAACATTTTGCGAGAGATTATATCTATTGCAGACAAAGATCATTTATCAAACTTCCTTCTGTCTGTTTCAGGCGGGATGGCGGTTTCACAGGGCTGCTCAATGAAATTACCAACTCGCATACTGAAGGTAAGTGCAGCACTAAAATCTCATGTGCTTTAGCACTTAAATTCCT